GTGGCAGTTTGTGATGAGAAAACTGCATTGTGGAAGCCTGGGAGTTGTAGTTTTGCAAGGTCTTGAGTCTTGCCTCGCCAAACTACAACTCCAATCATCACATAGCATTAAGACATGGTAGTTTGTGATGAGAAAACTGGATTGTGGAAGCCTGGGAGTTGTAGTTTTGCAAGGTCTTGAGTCTTGCCTCGCCAAACTATAACTCCAGTCATCTCATAGCATTAAGACATGGCAGTTTGTGATGAGAAAACTGCATTGAGGAAGCCTGGGAGATGTAGTTTTGCAAGGTCTTTAGTCTTGCCTCGCCAAGCTATAACTCCTATCATCCCATACATTAAAACGCGGCAGTTTGTGATGAGAATACTGCATTGTGGAAGCGTGGGAGTTGTAGTTTTGCAAGGTCTTTAGTCTTGCCTTGCTATCATCTCGTAGCATTAAGACGTGGCAGTTTGTGATGGGAAAACTGATTTGTGGAAGCCTGGGAGTTGTAGTTTTGCAAGGTCTTTCGTCTTGCCTCACCAAACTACAACTCCTATCATCTCATAGCATTAAGACATGGCAGTTTGCAATGGGAAAACTGCCTTGTGGAAGCTTGGGAGTTGTAGTTTTGCAAGGTCTCATCTTTCCTCGCCAAACTACAACTCCCATCATGTCGCAGCATTAAGACACGGCAGTTTGTGATGAGGAAACGGCATTGTGGAAGCCTGGGAGCTGTAGTTTTGCAAGGTCTTTAGTCTTGCCTTGCCATCATCTCGTAGCATTAAGACGTGGCAGTTTGTGATGGGAAAACTGCATTGTGGAAGCCTGGGGGTTGTAGTTTTGCAAGGTCTTTAGTCTTGCCTCGCCATCATCTTATAGTATTAAGACGTGGCAGTTTGTGATGGAAAAACTGCATTGTGGAAGCATGGCAGTTGTAGTTTTGCAAGGTCTTTAGTCTTGCCTTTGGTTTTGAAGTTGTAGTTCACCTACATCCAGAGACACTGTGGACTCAAACAATGATGGATCTGGACCAAACTCTACATGAATACTCAATATGCCCAAATGTGAACACTGGTGGAGTTTGGGGGAAAATAGAATCTTGACATTTGGGAGTTGTAGTTGCTGGGATTTATAGTTCACCTACAATCAAAGAGCATTCTGAACCCCACCAACGATGGAATTGAACCAAACTGGGCACACAGTTCTCCCATGACCAACAGAAAATACTAGAAGGGTTTGGTGGGCAGTTCCTTTGGTTTTGGAGTTGTAGTTCACCTACATCCAAGAGCATGGTTGACTCTGAAAATGAACAAAATCTGGCTACCAGTATTAAAAACTCTAAAATTACAACAGCAAAACAGCAGAGAGGAAACAACCAGGCACATCTTAACACCTCTCAACAAAAGATTTTCCCAGGCTCAGCCAGGCCTTCAAATGCTAATGAAGGTGGTCAGTTGAAACATTCACACCTAGCTCCAGCAGAAGAGCTCTTTGCCCCAACCCAGCCATTCCACAGATATATAAACCCATTGTCCTAATTCCAACAGACCTCACTACCTCTGAGGATGCTTGCCATAGATGCAGGCGAAACGTCAGGAGAAATGCCTCTAGAACATGGCCCTATAGCCCGAAAAAAACCCCACAAGAACCTAGTGTACACAAATACTCAATATGCCCAAATGTGAACACTGGTGGAGTTTGGTGGAAAATAGAATCTTGACATTTGGGAGTTTTAGTTGCTGGGATGTATAGTTCACCTACAATCAAAGAGCATTCTGAAGTCCACCAACGATAGAATTGGGCCAAAACTCCCAAGTGGGACACAGCAACATGTGGCAGGGGACGGCTAATTGCATACAAGACTTTGCATTGACCATATAATTTAATTTTTCGAATTGCATTATATGGCAACGCAGATAGGGCCACAGCTACCTGGGATGATGGTTTTGCATTTTGGAGTATTTCGGATTTGCAATGTTTTGCACATACTTTCCCCCTGGATTTTGGACTAAGGAAGACGCAATGGTACTTCCTTTTGTATGTGTAAGAGTTGAGTTATTTTTCCTTGCCTGTCTTTTGTGAGATAATATGAAAAATACAGTATATATGTCCGACCTTTGCTGCAGAAACCCCCTTTCTTTGCCATCGCAAATGCTTCCTAGGGAAATGGCTCTTGAGATTCACCTCTCCATATTGGAAGCCTGCTGTGTTGACGTCCAATTTACTCTCAATCGAAGCACAGTTCAGGCTGGATCCTCGTTTCTCGTTGCAAAATAAATATTCCCCCGGAGAGAAGACAATCGTTGGCGCCATGGCCTCAACCTATATATTTCCAACCTTGAAATGCCTTTATTGTTTTTTGGAAAAAGCAGATATTTTTTGGTAATGGAGCGTTGCCTCTTCCCAAATCCAATTGCTGGAGTTTATTTGCTATTTCCATCGTTATGTGGACTCATACCATGCATTATAGACCATTTAATGCAGTTTCAAGCTGTGCTATATGGCAGCATAGAATTATCTAAACAGATGAAAAGGGTGTTGTGTCTAACTTTAGGGCAGTGTTTCTTAACTTGGGGGTCAGGTCCCCTTTGGGGTCGCGAGGGGGTGTCAGAGGGGTCGCCAAAGACCATCAGAAAACACAGCATTTTCTATTGGTCATGGGGGTTCTGTGTGGGAAGTTTGGCCCAATTCTATCATTGGTGAGGTCCAGAATGCTCTTTGATTGTAGGTGAACTATAAATCCCAGCAACTACAACTCCCAAGTGTCAAGGTCTATTATCCCCAAACTCCACCAGTGTTCACATTTTGGGCATATTGAGTATTCGTGCCAAGTTTGGTCCAGTTCCATCGTTGTTTGAGTCCACAGTGCTCTCTGGATGTAGGTGAACTACAACACCCTAACTCAAGGTCAGTGCCCACCAAGCCCTTCCAGTATTTTCTCTTTGTCATGGGAGTTCTGTGTGGGAAGTTTGGCCCAATTCTATCACTGGTGGGGTTCAGAATGCTCTTTGATTTGTAGGTGAACTATAAATCCCAGCAACTACAACTCCCAAATGTCAAGGTCTGTTTTCCCCAAACTCCAGCAGTGTTCACATTTTGGCATATTGAGTATTCATGCCAAGTTTGGTCCAGATCCATCATTGTTTGAGTCCACAGTGCTCTCTGTATGTAGGTGAACTACAACTCCCAAACTCAAGGTCAATGCCCACCAAACCCTTCCAGTAAGAGAAGTCTTACATAGGCCATCCCTCGTTGTCCCAAGTATGATGGGCTTCCAAGTGAAGTGTCTTGGCAGTGGGTCCATAAGGGGCTGTGGAGCCCTATTCTTGATCCACATGTTCTTCCACATTGAGGGCATTGGTTTGCATGTGGAAGGTGATCCCAGTTAGGGTTGGGTTGATGCGCCGCCTTCTTGGCACATTTTTCCTTCACCCTCTATTTGTGTCTCTTCAAATTTCACAGCACTGCTGGTCACAGCTGACCTCCGTCTAGAGTGCTCAAGGGCCAGGGCTTCCCAGTTCTCAGTGTCTATGCCAGAGTTTTTGAGGTTGGCTTTGAGCCCGTCTTTCAATCTCTTTTCCTGCCCACCAACATTCCGTTTTCTGTTCTTGAGTTCGGAGTAGAGCAACTGCTTTGGGTGATGGTGGTCAGGCATCCAGATAACGTGGCCGGTCCAGTGGAGTTGATGGCGGAGGACCATCGCTTCAGTGCTGGTGGTCTTTGCTTCTTCCAGCACGCTGATATTTGTCCCCCTGTCTTCCCAAGAGATTTGCAGGATTTTCCTTAGGCAGCGCTGATGGAATCATTCCAGGAGTTGCATGTGACGTCTGTAGACAGTCCACGTTTCATAGGCATATAGCAGGATTGGAAAGACAATAGCTTCATAAACAAGCACCTTGGTATCCCTACGGATGTCCCGGGTCTCAAACACTCTCTGTTTCATTCAGAAAATGCTGCACTTGTATTTCAGTGTCAATGTTGACTTTTGTGAAGAGGTGGCTGCTAAGCTGGTGAAAATGGTCAACGTTGTATTGTCGAAGGCTTTCATGGCCGGAATCACTGGGTTGTTGTAGGTTTTTCCGGGCTATATGACCATGTTCTAGAGGCATTCTCTCCTGACGTTTCGCCTACATCTATGGCAAGCATCCTCAGAGGTAGTGAGGTCTGTTGGAACTAGGAAAAAGGGATTTATATATCTGTGGAATGACCAGGGTGGGACAAAGAACACCTGTCTGTTGGAGCTAGGTGTGAATGTTTCAACTGACCACCTTGATTGGCATTTGATGGCCTGTCAGTGCCTGGGGCAATCTTTTGTTGAGAGGTGATTAGATGTCCCTGATTGTTTCCTCTCTGCTGTTTTGCTGCTGTGATTTTATAGTTTTTTAAGACTGTTAGCCAGATTTTGTTCATTTTCATGGTTTCCTCCTTTCTGTTGAAATTGTCCACATGTTTGTGGATTTCAATGGCTTCTCTGTGTAGTCTGACATGGTGGTTGTGAGAGTGCTCCAGCATTTCTGTGTTCTCAACGTTGGTCAACATTTTCTAATATTACACTATTAAACTGTATTTCTGGCATTGGAGAGGGATTGGCCTTTTGCTGGAAGAGCACTTTGGTTTTCTCGATGTTCAATAAGAAGCTAAGCTTCTCGTATTCTTCTGCAAAGGTGTTTAGAGTGGCTTGTAGGTCGTCTTCTAAATGTGCACAGGCTACATTATCATCAGCATATTGGAGTTCTATAACGGATGTTGTGATCTTGGTTTTGGCTTTCAGTCTGCTGAGTTAAATAGCTTGCCATCAGTCCAATAGATGATTTCCACTCTGGTGGGAAGTTTCCCATCAACAATATGAAATATCATAGCGATGAAGATGGGAAAGAAGAGAAGTCTAGAGACCTTTTAAAGCTACAGATCTCGGGGTTCCATAGCAGCGAGCCATTGGAGTTAAAGTGGGGTCAAACTGCATTTGTTCTGCAGTGTAGATGCAACGTTTTCTGATCTCTGCTTTCTCTGCTCTTTTCCAGAAAGACTTGGCAAAACTGCAGCAATGGCTGGAAGCGTTCGTTGCAAATTTTGAGAAGATCATTGCGGTGCATTCGCTGGAACCAAGAAGGTAAATGTTTATCCCATTGGAGACATGGACGCTTGGGGAACGGCAGTTACTGTTTCCAGAAACCAGAGCATGAAATACCTATGGCATGAATGGGAACGGTCTGAATTCTGTACCTTTTGCAGGATAGCATAAAACACCAAATTGTAGTTGCAAAGGAGACCCAAATGGGAGGGATGGCTAATAAATACTCTAGAATCCAGATTCAAAATAGCCTTAACTTCTTTGAAAACGGATTGGCCAAAACTAGCAAAATAAACGTCAACAGGAAGAAGTCCAACAAATGAAGTTCAATAGCTGCTTTGAGTCTTGTTGTGGAGAGAAAAAGCAGGGTATAAATAAACATAATAATGACCCAAAATACCACTTTGGGTTTCACCAGTAGAAGCCAAACAGAGGCGCCTGTTAGGATGGCATAACTGGCCAACCTATAAGGATCTTCTAGACTATGATAATCTGAACAAAACATATACTCTAAAAACACAAGAAGAATTAGCAAAAAGGCTAGACAACATGACATGGTTAAAATACTTTCAAATTAGAGAAACATTTAAACAAGACCAAAAAATAGGATTTGAAACCAGTGACTCGACATGGGACAAAATACTTAAACTAGAAAAGAAATCAATCACAAAAATATATAATCAACTACTCGACTGGGAGGTGGAAACCGAAGAGATCAAGCAATGCATGATATCCTGGGCTAAAAATCTCGGCAGAACGATAAGTATCAAAGAATGGCAGAACACCTGGCGAAAAAACTTAAAATATACATACGCCGCATCCTTAAAGGAAAACTGGTTAAAAAGCTTCCATCGCTGGTATCTGACACCACAGAAACTCTCCCAGATGTACAAACAATATAAGAATACCTGTTGGAAGTGCAAAAAGGAGGTGGGCAGTTACTATCACATGTGGTGGTCCTGCCCAGTAGTGGCCAGATACTGGAAAGCGATAAGGGAAGAAACGCAAAAAATCATCAAGAGAAAGATCCCGATGAAGCCGGAAATCTTCTTACTAGGATTAGTAGAGGACGACTTAGGCATAGACAAGAATGAGGACATTATTCTCACCTATAGTACAACAGCAGCGAGAATGGAGCTCGCGAGAGTTTGGAAAAGGGACCAAGTCCCCACCATGGAGCATTGGCTAAACAAGCTTCTAGATATCAAGGATATGGATAAGTTAACATTCTATTTGAAGAAAAGTTCTGGGTTTCCAATAAAACAAACCAATTGGGAGGCAGTAGAGGAATATGAAAAACAGAGCTTAGTGGCCAGGACAACCCACGGAAAATAAGGAAAAGGACAAACGGTAAATTATCCGAATTGGAAGGGTCAAAACCGAAATTCCCTTTCCCCCCTACCGGGCCAGAACTGGAAAGGGGTTAAGGAAAGACAACACTAGAAAATTAATGAGGATACAAAGGAAGGGAAGTCTTTTATACTGTGTGCAAGATGTGTATGACAGAAAGGTGTGGCAAGCCTAGATGTAGTGAACTGTGTGAAGACATGTTTACCCAACCCCCACCTTTTTTCCCCACTATTGCTCCCCTCCCTTCCTCCCCCTCACCCGCAGAGCCGTTATCCCTATGTTCCCCCCCCCCTTGTTATGAATGAAACGAGGTAATGTGCCTTAGTGAATGTATCGACGATGTTTGTGTATGTTTATTTTTGTAATTTTAACTCTTGGAAAATGAATAAAGATTATTAAAAAAAAAAACATAATAATAACAAACACAATAATAAACATTATTATTATTATTACTATTATTATTATTATTATTAAAGAATGGATACCGTAAAAACACATTCCAGAATAGAAGAGAAAATTGGCGAAAGAAGGCTCTCCATGGACAGTTCCTGGGAAAAATTGAGAGCCTAATTGACAAAGAAAAAACATGGCTGTGGCTCACAAATGAAACTCTGAAAAAGAAGACAAAGGAGGGCCTGATTCTGGCAGCCCAAGAACAAGCCATTCGAACCAGGGCTGTTGCAACTCAGGGTAGTTTTCACCTTGCTCAAGACACCACCACACACCAAGGCTGTAGGTTTTGTAGTTCATTGAGGAAAAGCAAAAATCAAAACAGAGAAATAAAGATGCAAAAGTCCAATAGGCAAAACAGAGTCTTAAATGCAAAGGCAAAGTCCCCAAGAACCAAAGGCAAATAACACGAAGCATAATCCCTTAGCAATGGTCAAACAAGAGTCCATGGTAGACAGGTAACATCAGGATCAAAATCAAAGTTAGAAGGAAGGAACGAGAAAGATGGAGAGAAGGAGGAGAGATAGAAGGAAGGAAAGACAAAAGGGAGGGAGGGAGGGAAGGACGAAAGGGTGGAAGGAAGGGAAGGAGGAAGGAAAGAGAAAAGGAAGGAAAGACGAAAGGGTTGAAAGGAAGGATAAAGAGGGAGGGAGGGAGGGAGGGGAAAACAAAAAGGGAGGGAAGGATGAAAGATAGGAAGGAAGGAAGGGAAGGAAAAAGTTGCATTTGTTGAACCCAAAGCCCAAAATGGCAGTCTGTTTGGATACAGCTCACAAAATGCAGTGGAAGCTCTTTCTTTGGGAGCTTTTAAGCACAGGCTGGAGGGCCGTCTGCCGGGAGGGCTTTGTTGGTGTCTTTCGGAAAAGGGTTGGACTGGATGGCCTTTGGGAGTTTCTTCCAACTCTTTGACTCAATGTGACACTTGCCCAGAGAAATCCTTAGAGATGGGGAAAGAGAAAAGGAACGGCACCCCAGAGGGCTCTTCCTGGGCCGTTATTGCACCAGGGGTTCCTGTTTGGCAAGGCAGCGAGAGCGGTGTGGAAATGACACAGATCCTCCGCCGACCGCAGGCAAAGAGAGCATCAAAAAGCGAAGCAGGGAAAGGGAAAAAGAAGCCAAAGGTGGGAGACAAAGGGCAAGCCGTTTTGGAAAGCGGAACTTTGTTGGTGCCTTGCCAAGCTTGCTCTGCTGAAAGGGTGCGCATCATGCGCTCTCCGCAGACCTGCAGGTTCCCAAGTTATCATATACAGTGTGCTTTCTGAATTGTTACCAGAGGGTTCCCATGAAAGAGAACAGGAAGATAGCTTGGTACCTGCAGAAATTAATGAGCAAGTAGATAACGAGCAAAGAGATAGACGGGAAGAGATCAGTCAAAACAGGAGAGCTGAGGAATGGCTTTGGCGCTCTGCCAGGCTCTGACAGAAAACGATAGAGAGAAACCAATTTCTGAATGCTAGTGACCTCGCTAACGAGGGGGTAAAAGTCCCAAGTTTAGGATATGTAGTCAGATGAAGCATTGTTCAGAATCCTGCTAAGTTCTCGTCCTTGTTTCATGGAAGCCTTGCTTTGAAGATTCATGTTTAATGGTTTTGATTCCTGGATTTCATGATTGTTTACTCAAGCCTTGGATCAATGTATTCCTGATTTTCTGGATTGTATTAGAGATGTGTGGACTTTGTTTTTATAGACGTTGCAGAACTCTACCTTGGGCTAATTTGTTCCTGCTTATCTTCTTACCTAATTGGATTTACCTATTCTTTTAAAGTGCTTTTTTACTTTGCTGCTTTTTACTTATCTTCAATAAAAAGGATTGTTTTTCCTACTCAACGTGTGGTGTTTTAAAGTCAGAGGGTTATTCCTGTCCTGGAGTGCTGCCAAATTTGGCCACAAGACACCTATCAGGCCAACGAGTGACCATCACTCAAAAAAACTGATTTTGTCATTTGGGAGTTGTAGTTGCTGGGATTTATAGTTCACCTACAATCAAAGAGCATTCTGAACTCCACCAATGATGGAATTGAACCAAATGTGGCACACAGGACTCCCATGAACCAACAGAAAACACTAGAAGGGGTCGGTGGGCATTGACCTTGAGTTTGGGAGTTATAGTTCACCTAAATCCAGAGAGTGCTGTGGGCTCAAACAATCATGCGTCTGGACCAAATTTGGCACAAATATTCCATATGCCCAAATATGAACACAGATGGCGTTCAGAGGAAATAGACCTTGACATTTGGGAGTTGTAGTTACTGGGATTTATAGTTCACCTACAATCAAAGAGCATTCTGAACCCCACAATCCACAGAATTGGGGCAAACTTCCCACACCCCCATGTCCAACAGAATCCAACTCCCTTCACCAGGGCAAGAAAACGTAATGAAAGCCCTCCTGACAAAGAACCATCCAGTCATAGATATAGATAGATATATGATTCACACACACATATAGTATCATAGATTTGAAAGGGACCCCTGAAGAGGGACAATTATATGTTGCATGTCTCAGAGAAGGCAAACCAGACAATCTCCACATCAACACTGACAAAGAAACAGCAAGAAATACTGTTTTCCCACAAGCATAAAGAAATTACATAATTAGAAACCAACACTTTCTCGTTACCGTATTTAATTTTCCAGATCAACAGACTGGGCCACAGCAACGCATGACAAGGGATGGCTAATAATATATAAAATATATGTGTGCGTGAATCATATCTATCTATCTATATCTATGGCTGGATGGCTCTTTGTCAGGAGGGGTTTGTTTATGTTTTCTTGCCCTGGTAAAGGGAGATGGACTGGATGGCCTTAAGTATTTTCTGATGATCATGGGAGTCCTGTGTGGGAAGTTTGCCCCAATTCTGTGGTCGGTGGGGTTCAGAATGATCTGATTGTAGGTGAACTATAAATCCCAGTGACTACAACTCCCAAATGGCAAGGTTTATTTTCCCCAAACTCCATCTGTGTTCATATTTGGACATATTGAGTATTCGTGCCAAGTTTAGTCTAGATTTTTCATTATTTGAGTCCTCATTGCTCTCTGGATGGAGGTGAACTACAACTCCCAAACTCAAGATCAATGCCCACCAAACCCTTCTAGTGTTTTCTGTTGGTCTGGGGAGTTCTGTGTGCCAAGTTTGGTTCAATTCTATCGTTGATGGAGTTCAGAATGCTCTTTGATTGTAGGCGAACTATAAATCCCAGCAACTACAACTCCCAAATGACAAAATCATATTTTTTTAGTGATGGTCACTCCTTGTGTTGTGAGATGTTTTGTTGCCAAATTTGGTGTGATTTCGTTCATTGGTTCTTTTGTTTTTAAGGTACTCATTATGCACAGAGCATTTATATATAGATAGATATAAAATAATGTATAAATATTAAAATTAACATGGCATCTCTAGGAGTTTCACTTATCGCGGGTGGTCCTGGAACGGAACCCCCGCGATAAGTGAGGCAACACAGTACTTTTTTGGTTTCATGGTTTTGAAAACGGAGGTGCGCATGAGGTTCGGTGGCCCATGAGACTGGAGCCAGTTCATGTGTGTTGTGTGTGTTTTCCCCCAGGCCGGAGGAGTCGGTCTCGGAGATCCCCCTGCTGCCCCGTGACGTCCTGCAGGTGCTGACCCAACAGCTGGCGCACTGCGTCTCCCAGGTCTCCCGGCAAGAAGTGGCCGAGGCTGGCCTCCACCAGGCCCTCTTGCTGGTCAAGTTCTTCATCATCATTTGCAGGTACTGCCTCCCTTCTATGGCCATTCTGGCCCTTTGAGTTTGACCGCAGAGAAACTCCAACCTTTGGGTCCCAAACTGTGCAATTTTTTGGATCCTGCACGACTCTTCGTTAGTACCAAAAAAGTGGGATTTTTGCAAAGGATGCTTAGTTTTGAAAAATATTTAAATATTTACTATATTGCATGACACAAAAGGTTCAATCGGTATCAAAAAAGTGGGATTTTTACAAGAAATGCTATTTTTAAAAAAATATATATTACCGTATATTCCGGCATATAAGACGACTGGGCGTATAAGACGACCCCCAACTTTTCCAGTTAAAATATAGAGTTAAGACGACTCCCATGCATAAGACTACACCCGCGTATAAGACGACCCCTGACTTTTGAGAAGATTTTCTTGGGTTAAAAAGTAGTCTTATATGCCAGAATATACTGTAAATATTTGCATGACACAAAGAGTTAAATTGCTTTTATTTACATACTCATATTTTGTTTTCGGTTTGTATTATGTCATATTTGTCGTTAGCTGCCTTGTAAAATCATAGAATCAAAGAGTTGGAAGAGACCTCATGGGCCATCCAGTCCAACCCCCTGCCAAGAAGCAGGAATTACATTCAAATCACCCCTGACAGATGGCCATCCAGCCTCTGTTTAAAAGCTTCCAAAGAAGGAGCCTCCACCACACTCCGGGGCAGAGAGTTCCACTGCTGAACGGCTCTCACAGTCAGGAAGTTCTTCCTCATGTTGAGATGGAATCTCCTCTCTTGTAGTTTGAAGCCATTGTTCCGCATCCTAGTCTCCAGGGAAGCAGAAAACAAGCTTGCTCCCTCCTCCCTGTGGCTTCCTCTCACATATTTATACATGGCTATCATATCTCCTCTCAGCCTTCTCTTCTTCAGGCTAAACATGCCCAGTTCCCTAAGCCGCTCCTCATAGGGCTTGTTCTCCAGACCCTTGATCATTTGAGTCGCCCTCCTCTGGACACATTCCAGCTTGTCAATATCTCTCTTGAATTGTGGTGCCCAGAATTGGACACAATATTCCAGATGTGGTCTAACCAAAGCAGAATAGAGGGGTAGCATTACTTCCTTACATCTAGACACTATGCTCCTATTGATGCAGGCCAAAATCCCATTGGCTTTTTTTGCCGCCACATCACATTGTTGGCTCATGTTTAACTTGTTGTCCACGAGGACTCCAAGATCTTTTTCACACTTACTGCTCTCGAGCCAGGCATTGTCCCCCATTCTGTATCTTTGCATTTCATTTTTTCCCTTTATTGTCTCCCAATCCTTAATTGTCCCATCTGAGTTCAAGAGGTCTTTTATCAGATTCATTCCATTCTGTTTCAACTTTGTTATAACCTTACCAAATGTCTGTTCTTTTCTATTGTCTAGAAACCCTATTGGGAGTATATCTACCCTATTAATTTGTAGTTTGTTTTGCCATTTTTTCCAACATTCCAAAGATGAGATCAATGGTCCCCCTTTAGTTTCTGTTAAGATTTTTTTATCGACCCGTCCTTTTAAACATAAACAGTAGTTCCATCCATTTATTGCTTTTTCAATTCTAGCCCATCTTCTTGAATCATCAAAATCTAGTTCTATCAGTCTTATTAATTGGCAGGCGTCGAAATAATTCTGTAAATTAGGGGCACCCCATCCTCCATTCTCTTCTAAGGAATAAAATACTGATTTGGGAATACGATTTTTATTTGTTCCTTCTATCCAATTTTTAATCGAAGAATCCCATTTTTGAATAATTTTGATGGGGATACTACATGGGAGTGCTTGGAACAGGAATAAAAATTTGGGGAGAATCACCATTTTAACCATTTTAATTTTGCTTGATATATCCCAATTTTGTTTTTTCCTCCTTGATTAGCATTGATTGACAGTTTTTAGGTGTGGCTTGTTACTGCTTGGGAAATTCCTTTGTTGAGAGGTGATTAGGTGTGATTATTTCTTGTCTGGAGTTCCCCTGTGTTTGAGTTTTGTTTTTTATTTACTGTGTCCAGGGTGGGAGAAAGAACTCTTGTCTGTTTGAGGCAAGTGCGAATATTGCAGTTGGATACCTTGATTAGCATTGAATGGCCTTGCAACTTCAAAGCATAGCTGCTTCCTGCCTGGGGGATCCTTTGTTGAGAGGTGATTAGCTGGCCCTGATTGTTTCCTGTCTGGAATTCCACTGTTTGTTTTTTTTTAAGTGCTGCTCTTTATTTACTGTCCTGATTCTAGAACTTTTTGAACACCCCACGCCAAGGCAGGAAGCAGCCAGCTTTGAAGCTGCAAGGCCATTCAATGCTAATCAAGGTGGCCAATTGTAACATGTGCACTTGCCTCAAGCAGACAAGAGGTTTTTTTTTCCCACCCTGGACATCATTCCACAGATGTGGATGCATATGTATTTCCGCAGTGTGGATGCATCTGGTATAATTCTGCAGTGTGGATGCAATTTGTGGTGTAATTCTGCAATGTGGATGCAACATAAGTGTGGATTTTTGTAATGCACCATCTTGCAACTCTAGGTTATTTTGCATTTTGGTGGCTTGTTGTCTTTGCAATTAAAGGAGCATGGAAATATAATATAATATAATATAATATAATATAATATAATATAATATATATGCATCTGGTATAATTCTGCAGTGTGGATGCAATTGTGGTGTAATTCTGCAATGTGGATGCAACATAAGTGTGGATTTTTGTAATGCACCATCTTGCAACTCTAGGTTATTTTGCATTTTGGTGGCTTATTGTCTTTGCAATTAAAGGAGCATGGAATATAATATAATATAATATAATATAATATAATATAATATAATATAATATATATGCATCTGGTATAATTCTGCAGTGTGGATGCAATTGTGGATGCAATTGTGGTGTAATTCTGCAATGTGGATACAGCATAAGTGGATTTTTGTAATGCACCATCTTGCAACTCTAGGTTACTTTGCATTTTGGTGGCTTGTTGTCTTTGCAATTAAAGGAGCATGGAAATATAATATAATATAATTAATATAATATAATATAATATAATATAWATGCATCTGGTATAATTCTGCAGTGTGGATGCAATTGTGGTGTAATTCTGCAATGTGGATGCAACATAAGTGTGGATTTTTGTAATGCACCGTCTTGCAACTCTAGGTTATTTTGCATTTTGGTGGCTTGTTGTCTTTGCAATTAAAGGAYCATGGAAATATAATATAATATAATATAATATAATATAATATAATAATTTCCTTCTTCCTCCGGCTCGCTGGAATTGGTGCTTTCGACCCCAACGCTTCAAAGCAGGAAACCACGGGGTTTTCCATAAGCAAAGCCCAACGAAGCAATTGCTGATGGCAGGGTTGGATAAAGGAGAGAATTTTAATTGCACAGAAATGATAATGCGCTTGATGAGCTGTTGCAAGAGATCCGGTTCATTGGGTTCGGATGGTGGCAAGCCTTTTCGTCAGAATTGCAAACCAAGGCCAAAAGACATCTTTCTCAACGGCCTGAGAGACAGAAACCAGGATGGAGAGGCTGGCCTAGGGAACTCTGGACGATCGGGACTGCATCTCCCATCAGGTTGGGTGGGGATGGTGGGGGTCGCAGTCCAGAAACATCTGACAAGTGCCTAATAGGTCATAATAGGCAATAATATGACTTTGTGGCTTTTAAAAAGGAATTTTCCTAATGCGGAATTGTCTCGAGATAAGTTTGCTTTTTCACAATAATTGTGATTCACTCTCTTTGAAGAAAAAGATGCCTTTGCGTCAGGCCTGGGCCAACTTTGGCCCTCCCTCCAGGTGTTTTGGACTTCAACTCCCACAATTCCCATGCCGGCTTTGCGTGCATGGCATGTTCATTCCACATTTGTTCAACACGTTCTGCTGTTGTGTGCTTGTTTTGCTATTATGACTTGTTCAGCTATTGTACACCTATTCCACTGTTGTGTACTCATTCTGCTATTGTACACTCATCCTGCATTTGTAAACTGTTTTTCTGTTGCACACTCATTCTGTTGCCGTGCTCGTTCTGCTTTTGTACACTCGTCCCACTTTTTCACTCTTCCCACTGTTGTGTGCTTGCTCTGCTATTTCACACTCATCCTGCTCTTTTATTTTCCACAGTTGCACACTCGTTCCACTGTTATGTGCTCATTCTGCTATTTCACACTCATCCTGCTATTGTGCCTTTGTTTCACTGTTACACACCCATCCTGGTGTATCACAATTTTCACTATTGTGCACTTGTTCTGCTGTTGCATGCTCATTCCATTTTTGTGTGTTGGTGTGCTCACTTTGCTATTATACACTTGTTAATGTTAGCCACTCCTTATGGAAAGAAAAAGCTGGATATATAAGAAAAGGATTATTATTATTATTAGTATTCCACTATCGTTCACTTGCTCCACCATTGCACGCTCATTCTACTGTGTCATGCTCATTTTGTTGTGGCTCACACTTTCTGCTATTATTATTATGTTTATGTTTATTTATATCCGGCTTTTTCTCTCCATATGGACACTTTTGTGCCATTGCATGCTGCTGAAAGCCATTCTTTTCTTGCATGGTTTTTCCTCTGTTGCGTACGTGTCCAGCGATTGTACACTCGTTCCGCTGTCTTGCATTTGGGCTATTGCACACTCATGCCACCGTGGTGCTCTCATTTTGCCATCCCTGCCTTGTAAAATTTGCAAACCTGAATGCATTCCTTTCCAGAGAGTGTTGACCCCATTTGCCCTCTGCTTCCCCCTTCTTTCTGCCTCTTCGGACGGAACAAGAGCCGCGCCGTCACGCTCCCTCCAGCCATTAATTGACCATTTCTGGCCTTGGGCCGCTTTTGGAGAGGCTTTGGGAAGCCCAGGCAGCTCCCTCGCCATTGTGTGCCAATAATAACCCATCCTTTTTGCTCTTTCTCCGTGTTTATGTCCATCCGAAGCACCATAGGCTTGGTTCCCTGGGGTCCTTTCAGTGCATAGGGAGCTATTCTTGGCCAGAGTTTG